TTTGTTCTGTGAGGTTTGGACTCAGTCAAAGGGCTACACTTGAGGACCTAGAGGGCCACATGTAGCCTTGAGGTTGCAGGTTCCTCACCCCTGGATTAGACCTATGACATTCTTTGGTATTTATTCTGATACAGTATACTGTGTTTAAAATTAGAGAACCACAGAATAGTCAATACAAAAAAGAATGAGCCTCACTTTAAAATCCTTTCAATTTCCAGGGTATGAAACCTGTCAGCACTTCTCATTAAATTTCAAAAAGGTCATCCAGAATGTATGGTGAATTGTACTGTCTTGTGAATAAAACAGTATTCTAATATCCTTATTAATTCTCAATTATATATCTTGATTTATTCACTTGTTCTTAGATCCTAAATCATTCTAAGAGCACCACCAATTCTGGTTCTATTTTTAAGCATTGGGTTTTAGATCTGAAAGTCTATTTTAGCTGAAAAAAAGACGTACTGTAGAAAGTCTACTGACTAAACAGCTGCTGATTCTAAAATGAGTTCAGTTACTCTAAGTTAAGCATTAATTTATGCCTAAAATTTTCCACCCAGTGCCATTCTTTCTGGATGCTGTAAAACAGAATGAACACTGAAAGGAAAAAGAGAAAAAACTGACATTCAGGGAGTTGGTCTTGTGTGAGCCTCTTGCTATGAGGGTACCGTGATGCAATGACCATCCAGACTCCCTCTCATAGTTATTTATTTTTTAATGTAGTAGTCATTAATCAAGAAGCTTGTTATGTACCTGTTAATTTGCCAGACATTGTGCTAGGCCCTGGGCTTACAAAGACAAAAATGAAACAGTGTCTTCCCTCTAAGAGTTAGCATTCATCCAAGGGAGACAACATACACATTAATAAAATACGTTACAGATAAATACAATTCAAAAAAATGGAGCCGGGGGAAGTCAAAAGCAACTGAAGAAAGGGTGAGATCAAAAGAAGCTACACATAGAAGGTGCTACTTGACCAAACTATGTGTATGCAGGTGTCCTGTTTTCCAAACTAGAATAAGCATCTAGAGGCCAAAGATAATGCTAAAAATCTTGATATCCTCTGTGCCCAGCAGAGAATACAACACAGGATGAAGCTAAAATTTCCACGCTTGTAGGTTCCTAAACATAACCCTTTTAAATACAAAAAAAAAATAGCTTTAGGAGAACCTAGAATAATCACAAATACAGAGTGTCTATAGGATAGGATAGGATAGGATAGGATAGGATAGGATAGGATAGGATAGGATAGGATAGGATAGTATCATTTTGCATCGCATCGCATTGCATCGCATCATATCATATCCAAGTAAACTGGGCAGACCAGTCTGAAAAAAAATGAGCTATCAAAATGAGAGTGTAATTATTTTCCATTTAAAACTGAAGTCTTTTCTGCTGGCAGTCTACAGTGATGCATTAACAACTATAAAATGTTCTGTCAAACAATAAAATTCATATAAGGGTACTTCAGTCTTACCCAATAGTGGGTTCTGACACTTTCTCTGTCTCCTTTAAGACTCAGACATTTTTCTTAAAACATACAAGACCACTTAAAATACAAAAAGAAAAGTCCTATTTTTCCTACACAAAGTTGAAACTACTGGGCCACACTATCACCACAGTGTACGCTTAGAAACGTTTTTTCATTAATAGCAACAAATGTTCTGATTTTCTATTTCTCCCTTTCACAGCCAAACTCCTAGTAAAAAGTCATAATTGCTTCCACTCTCTCACTGTCCACTTACTTCTCAACCTCTAATAATATGGTTTTGGCAGAAACTCCAAAGTTACCAATGATTTTTCAATTGCTAAAGCCATCCTCATCCTTCCTGACCTCTTGATTATAGCATTTGACACTACTGATTACCTTGCTTCCCAAGCTCCTTCCTCAGTTTTTGCAATTCTACTTTCACCTGATTCTCCTCTTATGTGACCAGTCCCTCTCAGTCTCCTTTGTGAGTTTAATATCCATACCAACATACTAACTCAGGAATCTGCTCTCCTCCTTTTTCTATATACTCTCTCAGTGATCCCATTAGCTCCCAGAATAAAATTATCCTAAGTAGATGACTCCCAAATTCATATATACAAGCCTTAGTCTCTCTCCTGAGATGTTTCTGGTGAACATCTCCATCTGGAAGCTCTACATACATGGCAAATTCATTATGTTCAAAAGATGACACACCAAACTGAACCTTCTTCCTAACTTTTCCATTTCTGTAGAAGACACCATCATTATTCTAGACACCCAAGGTTTGCAACCCCAGAGCCATTCTTGACTCTTCATTCTCCCATATCCCTTATATCCAACCATGACTCATGGATTCTTTCTACACAATATCTCTCACATCTGACCCACTCTCTCTATTCACACTGCTATCACTTGAGAGTTCAGGCTTTTATTAGCTCTTAAATGGAGTATTACAATAGCCTAATTGGTCTGTCTTCCCGACTCCAACTGCCCAATGGCTCCCAAATTAATATTCCAGAAACAAAGGCCTGATTTTGTTACCTCCCAACAACAAAAGCTTCACTGGTCCCCTCCTGCCTCTTGAATAAAATACATATGTCCGTTTGGCATTTCGCAATCAAACTACAGCCTTCCTTTACATAATTTTTGCAAATTATTCCCTTCACAATCTGGCTGTAGTTGACCTTTCTAAATTTCTTACAAATTACTCCCCATCACTCACCCTACATTATAGCCAAAACGGTCTCTGTTCCATTCTCCAATGACAGCAGTTCATCTCCAACATCCCATATCTTCACAAGGCCCATCCTCATGCCCTGATAGTTTTCCTCTTCACTGATCCCTCCAAGACTCCGTAGCAGCCTTCCTACTTTCCTCCTTTCAAGTTTCAGTTTAGGTGCCACCTCCTACTTAAGCCTCCTCTGAATCTTCAAATTGTTAGCACTCTCCCTTGCTACCAACCCTAAAGTTACTTTGTATTTACTTTTCTGTGTATATGCTTCCCTCAAAAGAACATGAGCTCTTTGAGGACAGGGATGTTTTTATTTTTTTGTCTTTGTATTCCCAGAACCTAATACAGTGACTTGCATGTTTCAGCCCTTAAATGAATTCTTGTTCATCACAAGATAAGTGCAGTGTGTGGTCTACAGCTATGGAATCAATTAAAGATAAATGAACTATACAGGATTTGAACTGGAAACCCTATCTTCATCACCATCATCATAACTTATCTACTTACAAAGAAAGTTTTATAATACCCAGTGGGGGAAAAAATTTCCCCCACAGAAAGGGAGAAAGGCTTAAATGAAGCCAAGGTAATATTGGGTTCCACGACCTGGTCTCCAATCCCAAAGATGAGATAGGTTATAGAAAAAAATAAGGATAGAGTTGCTGGAAGAAAACAAGAAAAATGGATAGAGAACTGACCTTGGAGCCAGGGAGACCTGAGTTCAAGACCCACCTCAGATACATAATGGCTATGTGACTTTGTATGTATATGCCACTTAATCTTTTCAATGCTTTAGAAGATTACCAAGATGCATTAGTAGAGGGAAATTCCTCACCTGGGAATAACCTAAACCAATGATAGGCCCAATCCCTATCTCTAAGAAACAATATATAACTGTTAGATGATTTACATTTCACGGATGACCACGAATTCTCAAGTTTAGGGCTAAAGCTTCTACTTGCTATAAAATGTAAATGGGCTAAAGCATCAGAAAAATACCTTTTCTTCAAGGAGTAAGCATATATTTAACATTAGATACTAATAATCTGTTTCCTCAGAACAAGCCTCTCGGGAAGTTACTTTAAAACAGCCTGAGGTATTTTTAATACCTGAAGATGAATAACTAAAATAATTACAAAATGATTATACAATAATATGTTCTTTAAAAGGTATTAGAGGTACTAAGCTTACTCTGATTTCCTTTCATTTGCTATTTTTAATTCCTAGACATCCTTAATCAAGTTCGGAAAAAATAACATTTTTCCCCTAAATATTCTGGCAAGTAGGTGTTAAAATATATGTTATAGGTGAAATAAGCCAAGAACATGCAATTGAGGTAATAATATGCAATGAATTAGAAGATAAGCTACTTGAAACATGAAACTAGTCTTAAGAAAAAAACATTATTTCTTCAAATTAAACTCTGTTAAGGCCTTCCATTTAAGCACATATAAAGATCTCTAGAGAAGGAAAGAAAATAAAAATCTTGCAACATAAGCTTATATCAGAATTTGAAGTAAATTCTCTTGCTGAATTTTCAAGCAATTTGCCAACACTTTATGTCAAAAGATAAAACCCAGATCCTAACAAAGTGCAAACATGAAGTACAACACAACTGGGAATCCATATCATAATTACTATCATTATAGTAACAACATGCTGAACAGCTTCAACATTGGCCACCTGACGGCTACTGTTTATGCACCACATACTATCCGATAAGCAGCAGCTCCAAAAATTCCATACGATTTCTCTAAAAAAACTTGTTGTATAGTCAAGTATTTTACAAATATGATTCATTTCAAGGGAGATTAAAACTACATCTGGGAATTATCCCATATTAATACCAATTCATTATTCTCCCTCTTGAAATCTAAAGTAAACTTCCTGAGGCTTTAAAGATTTGCAGGTCAACAGGAATAATATTTAATGAACCTCCTCCCTGACCATAAATATTTACGTGTAACTTTAACACAAAAATAAATGCTTTAGTTACCATTCTGTTGCATCCTCCTATTCCAACCAACAATAAAACGAGCTCATGATGCACCTGCTGACCTCTATACTATTTCTTTAAACAGGCTAAATATGATCACAGATCTTGACTAAACAGGAAAAGGCCTGTACCAGCTGTGGAAGTTAATCATACTTCTATTCTTATTCTGCATTCATATAGTAATTTCAATTTCAGTTATAAGTAACATCATCATTCCAAACAGTACTAAGTGCCCATATGTACATGGCACCAAATTAGTTTCAAAACAATTAAATACATGCACATTTTTAAAAAAAATCTCTACTTGCCTTGTGCCTGCATTTTAGTACAACCCCATAGGCTCCTGTAATAAAAATAAAAAAATATGAACAAATGTATATATGCTGGAATATTTAGAGGAACTAAAACCTCACTCCACATATTTTATGAATCTAGTATCAGTAAATCTCAATGCTTTATAAAATAAAACTAAAGGATAAAAATTCTTAAAAAAAGATAATTTCAAGTCCCTCTCCTGCCTCCTCCCCACATCAATTTAACAAGCATTTTTAGGTCTCCTTTACTTGAAGAAAACTATTAGCAGTAGCCCAAGATTAAGGAATACTACATGTACTTAAGAACTGACATTATCCTACAAGCAAAAGATTAAGTTCTCAATCTGGGGGCAAATATGAACTCTTTCAGAATACCAGAATTTCATTTATTAATTCTCTATAATTGATAACTTACTAAAATGATACTAGGTGCTTGAAAATTCATATTTTAAAAGTCATGCAAATCATTCCCAAGTAAGATCAAACATAAAGTTTGTCAAAATATCTTGGTCTATAAAATGTTTAAATCTTCTACAGGATGTCTAGATATTTATCCTCATAGGGGAAAAAAATTCTTATTCACATTCTAGCACAACAGGAATTATAATTATAGCTAGTAGTAAGCATTACCAGGTTCTGGGGAATAACCCATCCTATAGTCTGCATGAGTACAGAATCTCTGAAGTGTAGGAGAAAAAGACAGACACTTTCTCACATGTACATGGCAACAGGACATTCAACATGGTCACAGATTTCCCCAGTATACAGCTAACTTGCCTTTATAGAAAAACTTTTCACTACCTTCTGGGAAATTTATCTTGATAAATTTTCTTTTACTATCTTATTAAAAATTATCTTATCCAAACCAAAATGATAATTTCTATCTACTCTTTGTATGAGCAGAGAAAATGGAGGAATTCATCAAGGAAGGTGACAGAAAGAAGGGTGGTAATACAGTGCTTCCTGTGCAAATGAAATAATTATCTGATTTATTTATTTCTCTGATACATTTATTTACATATGCAAAACTATTTTCATTTTTAGGAACGCTAATACAAAAGGGAAAATATCTGTGGCACATAGGAGGATGCCATTTGTTTTCTACAGCTTCATGTTTCAGATTTGGAGTAATCATCACATTGGATTCTTATTTAAGAAAAAAAAACACTTCTTCACAAGAACTTGATGCAAAAAAGACTGAGTAGTTTATTTAGCTAGAAAAACTAAGAAATGCTACTGTTTCAAACTAGAACCAATAAAGTATTTTGTAAGAAAAAAATGCTATATAGCATCTGCCAATTTTAAATATACACATTTTAAGCAATAAGTTAGTGATCCTTTTACTTTCTTTCATTAATGAGCACTTACAAATTTTTTCTAAAATACAATTAAACCTCATTAATAAAGAATAATTTGAGGAAATTTGAATTACAGAATTTTAATTGGACAGGTTTTTTTCATTCATGAATTCAATTCAAAAATCTACTGTTTGTAGATTGGATTATGCCATCCTCAAATTTTATAGAAGGAAATTTCAGCATTTCACTCAGTGAGAGATATGAACGAATTATTACAAATTTCAAACTGAGTCATTATTAATGAGGTTTTACTGAACATTCCTCAAGAATTCAGTTAATTCAGGAAATCTAACTTACCTTCACCTACAACCCCAAGGATCTCAAATTTATTCATCACATTACCAATGTTAGGAATCTTCATGAAGACAAATTCCTCTTCTGATGCAAGCCACAGAACATGGCACAAGAAGGGTTATTTGAGAAACTTATATAGCTGGTTGTATTGGAAGAGCTTGAAGAAAGAAATCCACACTGGCTGATGGGAATTCTCACATATCTGTCCTAATTCTGAAGTATAAAATGATTTCCCCTGAAAGAACAAATAGCACAATTAACAGCTGCAAATCTTACATCAGAGAGCTCTAATTTAAAACTGTCCCTCTAAAATAAGAGACAGGGAGCTCATGATGCCTGTTAAAAAGCAAGAGATTTACAGACCATCTTACTGTGATCTGTATCTCAATTGTGAAACTCAAAACAGCAGGTTTAAAATAAAGATAAAACAATTCCAGATAATAGCACAGATGCTCTGTAAAGCCTAATTTATATTTTAATATACATCTGGTCATTTAAAATAACGAGATTAAATACAGAGTTTGATTGAGAGGAGAAAGAAAAATCATAATGAATAAACCTTTAGAAATACATGTTATCTTCTCTGTTTTATCAAATGTCCTCTTTCTTATATGAGCTCCATGAGTACCTGTGTCTGAACTTAACGTCGTAGTCCTCCGACTTTAAAGAATCAATCATTCATCTTCCCAGCAACACTTAGTAAGGAACAATTACATGCCAAGCACTATGTTTGGTACTGAGAACACAAAGACAAAAAACAAAACAAACTCTTCTCTTCAGAAGTCTAGACAAGAGGCAATGGAGACCTGAACAAGGGTGGTAGGCAGAGAGTGTGGAAAAGAAAAGCAGAATCTAGAATGCTGTGGAAGCAGTAAAATTGACAGCACTAAAAAACTGGCTAAATGGGAGGAGGGAAGGAAGGTGGAAATGAGAAGAGTCAAAAGTGACTTAGGTCTCTTTTGGGTAGCTGGAACATAGGCTGACCTGTGCGTACTGAGGTAAAATGAAGTCAATAAACCCAGAATATACAAAATGACTAGAATAACTGTTAATCAAAACACTAAAAGACAACTCAACTATGCCTAATTATAATGACCAATTACAATTGGCCCTGGAGGGCAGAGGAAGAAAAACATATCTCCCCACCCAAGAGAGAAGCCTTTATGATAAGGGATGCAGAATGTTGCTTAACTGTATTTTCTATAATACCAGGAAAAGTCCAATCCACCTATCAACAATTATTTATTAAACATCTACTATACGCCAGGCACTCTGCAAGGAGCTGCAGTTATAAGTACAAAAAAAATTAATCCTTATTCACAAGGAGTTTACAATCTAATGGAGGAGGGGGCAAATCATAAAAATAACATGATTAAGAAGCAAACATCATCGAAAAAGCCTTGTACTATGTCTCCTGCAGTTTATTTCACAGTGTCTGGTTTATAATTCAAATTACTATTCTTATGTATATAAAGATATGTTTGTCTCTTAGAATTTTTTAATTTCAAATGTTATCCTCCCTCATTCTGGGGAATGGGAATTGATATTCTGCTTACTATAAAATATATGCATGCATACACACATTCTTAAATAGCTACATTAATAATTACGGCCTTTCCAACCCTGCTAAGACCTTTGTGTATTTTTTTAGACTAGTTTTCATGGGGGCAGCTAGGTGGCGCAGTGGAGGGAGCACCAGCCCTAGAGTAAGGAGGACCTCAGTTCAAATCCAGCCTCAGACACTTGGCACTTACTGTGTGACCATGGGCAAGTCAGTTAACCCCCACTACCTAGCCAAAAAAAAAGAAAAGAAAAAGACTAGTTTTCCCTGTCTCACCCAGGATGGAAATACAGAGACTACTCATGACCCTGATCCCAATATGATGGGCACAGGAGCTCCAACCTGCTGTGTTTCACATCTGAGCTAGTTCATCCCTCCTTAGGCAAGCTGGTGATCCCAGAAGCTCATCATAGTTATGTCAAACTCAGTGTGAATACTCTTCAGCCTCAGCCTCCCCACTGGCAGGGATGGTATATACGCAACCCCTACAATGGATTTCTTTGTGTAGTTACAGTTTATTTCCCTCCCCTAAAGAAGCTTAGCATTCCTATGTAGAATCCCCAAAGTAAAAGCCATATAGCCTCTGATCCTCGGTTGAGAGAAGAATCCAAGGCTATAAGAGGCAATACTCCCTGGAAAGATCCTTTCCCATACTGGTTGGGTACTATCCTGTATACCCACCATGCATGTACTATAATATGCAATTTAAAACCGCTTATTTCTATTTTTTTGCTTTTGCCCCTAAAACCAATCAAAAGAAGGTCTCTCACAATTACTCTAAATATAACTTCATAGCTATGTGGGTCCAAATAGCCCCACAGCACCTGGGATTGGAGATAAGATCCTCCAAATTCTCTTGTTAGCTAACCTTGTGTAAGCTGGGAAGCATTCCAGTCCCATATTCTGATCCCTTTCAGTTAATTAATACAATCAGAGAACTCAAAGTACAGAACCAGTAACAGATAATATTGTGCTCCCTACACCAATCACCACTATGATCCCCTAAAAAGGAGAGAATGTATCTAACAAATCAGAAATGGGACTTTAGGGGCAGCTAGGTGGAGCAGTGGATAGAGCACCGGTCCTGGATTCAGGAGGACCTGAGTTCAAATCCAATCTCAGACACATAATACTTACTAGCTGTGTGACCCTGGGCAAGTCACTTAACCCCACTGCCTAGCGAAAAACAAAACAAAACAAACAAAAAAAAAAGAAATGGGACTTTAACTATACAAAATGAAAAACTGGTAGGCCATTTTGGAGAAGGTATGGTAATATCACTTGCAAGGAAACACCATACCATGATACTATATCAGGAAGCAAGTCAACAAAGTGGCTTCCTTGAAGCAGCAGGTGACCAAAACCACAGTCACCACAACTACCACCCATTGCCCTCAGGCCCTCACAAAGGCAGGCACCAGGGCCCTAAATCGAACCTTAAGTAGTAGTACCCTGAAGGCCACTAGCTCTGCCCACAGCCAATCCCACCCTCAATGGCCAGGGCAGCATTCCCAATAGGGATATGCCTTTGCTGCTAGTGCTGTAGCCCCTACTGTCCAGTGACAGTGGCTGCTGTGTAAGTTGGGGCTATAGCATCAGCAGCCATAGCTAGCTATGGACGCAAAAGTTCTTAACATTAAAGTCCTTGGCACTGACAAATGATTCAACATTAGAAATCAATGTTTTTATTAATTAAAATGGCACATCAGCTGTATCTTTCTCTCTATACTTTAGTGAAGCTGGATTACCTGCATCCAAACCCCTGGACCCTCTAGCCATTCAGGCGCTTCTACATGCCTTGTCACACCACACTTGGCAGCCAAGCAATCATTGGCCTTGACCTACTTTGGCCTTTGGACCACTAGGTTCAAATCTATCCAAATGTTCTGTAGCTGAATCCTTCTCTGTGTGCTATTTTCCCCTTCTCTCTCATAGAACCTGAAACTCTAAAAAGCAAGGATTCCTTCACTTCCCAAAACCAGAACTCAGACACTAGGACCCTAGACTCTGAGAGATGTATTTGCCTGGAACCAGATTTATCTTCTGGCCAATAGTCACGTTTTCTTCTCTTTCCTCCCCAAGTTTCCAAATCTATCTTACTTTTTGGTGTTTTGTTCCCCACTCAGAATCTAAGTCCATAGAAGGAAAGGAGTGTCTTGTTGGCTTGTTTTGTTTTATCTCTGGTACTCAGCAAAATGTCTGGGATGCAGTAAGTACTTACTGATAGGGTTGGGATCCAGACCCCAGAAAGGAAAAGCCCTGGACTTTCCAATCTCTGAATTTCGCCTCAGGCTATAATCCCATCAACTAGCCTTTAGTTGTCTAGCCAATAGCTCACAGATGCTCAGATTCCTTAAGAGTCTGGCTAATATGGCGGATCTTTAATAAACCTTGTCTCTGGCTAAAAAAAGGCTTGGATTGAATTCTTTCAGGAAGGACCCACTTGTCATGATTTTGGGGTCCCAGCACCCCCTAAACATCTAGACCTATCATTTACTAAGCCTTTTCATTCATTCATTCACTTCACTCATTCTTTCCAGTATTCTTTTCACTATACTCCATTATCCTGAGGCACAGAGCTAGATTAGATGGTTAATTTCATGCTTTGTGGACTCTAGATTTAATCTTATATACAATATACACAAAGAAGTCTGGCTGTTATGAAAAAAAATTCTAAAATCCATCCTGTCTGCTGAAATAGACTGGAAACACAAATGGTCAAGCTAAACATAGGCACAGAAGCCAGAGGAGCAAATGTCTGAGAGCCTGATGTGCTTACTGAAAAGCTGCTTAACCCTCTGAGATTTAAGGGGAGTGCCTCAGACCTTTTCATTAAACTGAACTTGGTTGATTAAAACAAACCTGTTTATTAAATGCCTAATATGGGCAAAGTTCAATGCCACTCACTGTGGAGGATGTAAAGATACACAAGAAATAATCCTTGTTTTTAAAAGCAAAAGACAAAAATGGCCCCTGCTCAGGCAATCTTTCCCTTAATGAGCTAAGGGAAACACACAAAGCTTAAAAATACAAAGGGTATGGCTTGCAGTCAACTCTTACTATAAAAGGCACAAACACTTGAGTGTTTCCTGAAGTAGCTTATCAGATCTTGTGTCCGACAGGCAAATGTACTTTCAATGGCAAAACCAATTTCTAATGCCATTTTGTCCCTGCTTGCATATATTCAACAGGGTGTCATTTCACATTACTTTTTAAAAATCTAACTGATATAAAATTTTGCCAGAATATTAACAAGAAATGACCCAAACAATTGTTATGCTTTGGAGTAGCACTGCTATGATAACCCCATCAGGTGCTACATTTGGTTTAGTATCTAGTTAAAAAGAGATACCTTGTGCTTTGCTCAATCAAGATCACCAACGTATATTATTATATCATTGTCAATACTTCAGTTATTAGAAGTCTGACACAAAGAGAAAGGAGATCAAAGATGTGAAGGGAACTGGGTGCTGGAAGGACTTGAAAAGAGGTCTACATTTGGCAAACACTGAAAAAATACAGACTAGGGTTTTGTTCTCAAAGAAAGAACAAATACCATAGCTCATAAAGGGCACAGACAAAAGATCATTTCAAATTTCAAAAGTGGACAATCCATAACTTTGAGCCACTGTTCCCACTTCCAAATCCAGATGACAAGCACTTTTTAAGAGTAC